GATGAAATTGGGTGCGTTGACATTGGGTGCATACAGATTGATGATTATTATTTCCTTTTGGTCTATTTCCCCTTTTATTAGTATGGAATGTCCTTCTTTATCTCGTTTGATCAATGTAGGTTTGAAGTCTACTTTGTCAGAGATAAGTATTGCTACTCCTGCCTGTTTTCGGGGGCCATTGGCTTGGTAAATCTTCTTCCAGCCTTTCATCCTAAGCATATGCTTATTTCTGTCATTGAGATGAGTCTCCTGTAAGCAACAAATTGTTGGATCTTCTTTTTTAATCCATTTTGTCAAACGGTGTCTTTTGATGGGTGAATTAAGTCCATTAACATTAAGCGTTAGTACTGATAGGTATGTGGTGATTCCTGCCATTTAGTTGTCTTAGTTGTTTGAAGGTTTGATTGTGTGTACCTAACTTGATGTTACTCTCTACTGTCTTGCTTTTTCTTTTCCTGTGGTTTGGTGCTGCCTGCCTTTTCATGGTTAAGTTGGGTGTCACTTTCTGTGTGCAGATCCCTTGCAGAATCTTTTGTATGGTGGCTTTGTGGTCACATATTGTTTTAGTTTCTGCTTATCATGGAAGACTTTTATTGCTCCATCTATTTTGAATGATAGTTTGCTGGGTAGAGTATCCTGGGGTTGAAGTTATTTTCATTCAGTGTCCGGAAGATCTCACCCCACGCTCTTCTTGCTTTTAATGTTTCTGTTGAGAAGTCTGCTGTGATTTTGATGGGTTTACCTTTGTATGTTGTTTCTTCTCTCTTACAGCCTTCAATATTCTTTCCTTAGTTTCTGAACTTGTTGTTTTAATGATGATATGTCGTGGAGTAGTTATATTTTGATCTGGTCTGTTTGGTGTCCTGGAGGCCTCTTGCATCTGTATGGGAATACTTTCTCTAGATTTGGGAAATTTTCCGTTATTATTTTGTTGAATATATTACGCATTCCCTTCGCTTGCACCTCTTCTCCTTCTTCGATGCCCATGATTCTCAAGTTTGGTCTTTTGATGGAGTCAGTGAGTTCTTGCATTTTCTTTTCACAGGTCTTGAGTTGTTTAATTAATAGTTCTTCGGTTTTTCCTTTAATTACCATTTCATCTTCAAGTTCTGAGATTCTGTCTTCTGTTTGTTCTATTCTGCTGGATTGGCCTTCCGTTTTGTTTTGCAGTTCTGTTTCGTTCTTTTTTCTGAGGTTTTCCATATCCTGGCAGTTTTCCTCTTTAATGTTGTCTATTTTTGTCCTGAGTTCATTTATCCATTTATTCATTGTGTTCTCTCTTTCACTTTGGTGTTTATACAGTGCTTCTATGGTTTCCTTTATTTCTTCTTTTGCTTTTTCAAATTCTCTATTTTTTTGTTGTCTTGGAATTTCTTGAGTGTCTCCTGTACATTTTGGTTGACCCTATCCAGTATCATCTCTATAAAATTCTCATTGAGTACTTGTAGTATGTCTTCTTTTAAATTATTCTTGTGGGCTTCATTGGGTCCTTTGGCATAGTTTATCTTCATTTTGTTGGAGTCTGGATCTGAGTTTCTGTTCTCTTCATTCCCCTCTGGTTCCTGTACTAATTTTTTGCTGTGGGGAAACTGGTTTCCCTGTTTTTTCTGTCTTCCCGTCATTGTCTTGGTGTTGTTACTGTCCCTGTACTGTGTGCAATTAAGTATTTTCTAGCTTGTAATAATAACAATGGTAATATTTAGAATGGAAGGGTGAGCTGAGATGGAAAGCAAGAAGTTAAAGAAAAGGGGAAAACAAATATATAGACAAGAGGGAGAAAGCAGAACAAGGTGTCAGACAAGAAAGTTTCAAAGGTATAAACAGGGAGTGTTAGTGTACTAATCGACAGTAAGCTGAACAGACATTAGAGAGACAGAAGAGAGTAAGCTGAACAGACATTAGAGAGACAGAGAGAGGATGAAAATCAAAGATAAAAAAAATAAAAAAAAAGTAAATGAAAGAAATATCTCTATATAAAAATGAATTAAAATAAAATGGAAAATAGAAAATTAAAAAAAAAAAACTTCCGAGTTTATATGCAATGCAGTTACAGTCTTAATAATTTGGGTGTCCATCTCAATCTCCATTCCTGGAGTTGGTGCCTCAGATGTTGTTCTGTAGTTGTCTCATCAAAGGGGATGCATAAAGTAGAACAAAACTACACACACACACACACACACACAAAAAGCCCCACCAAGTGTCCCAAGTTCAAATGCAATACAGTTTCAGTAAGTTTTTCAGCTTGCAGGTGTAATTCCGTTGTTCTCTCATCAAAGGTAGGGAGAAAAAGAAAAAAAAGAGTCTGGAGACAGTTCTGAGAATGGTATCTGCAGCTGTGGCTTGCCTGCCCGCTGCTGTCATCCTGCTGTTGCTGGAGGCGTTGTTTATGCAGATCTCTGGGGTTACCTTAGCACTCACCTGGTCGCACAGGCTTTGTTGACTCAGATTTCTCCTGTGTGGGAGCCTCTGCTACAGGCTTTCCCCTTTCCAAGCACAGGGAAAGGTGACACTGCCCCATGTTGTCAGGCCTGCGTGTTTATTTACAGTTCATGTGGGAGGTGGGTCTTCCCCCCTCTCCTGTGCAGTCCCACCTCCGCTTTCACAAGCTTTCCTGCTCCTGCTTACTGGGCGGTGCTGCTACTCCTGCCGGCCGCCATGTTTGTTTACAGTTCGCGTGGGAAGTGGGTCTTCCCCCCTCTCCTGTGGAGTTTTTCTCCCTCCGCCACTCTCACAAGGTTCCCCGCTCCTGGTTGCTGAGCACAAGCCCTGCTCCTGCCAGAGGCTCTCCGGCCAGCCCGGCTTGTTTATTTACAGTCCCGGGAAGGATTCCCTTCCCCCAATCTTCAGCGCTCAGGGCGCCCCACCCTCTTTCCAGCTTGTCTTAATTGTTCTTATTGCTTATTACTCAGTTTCTCTTTTTTCCCCGGGTGGAGGTCAGTCTGTCCAGGGGACTATGCTGCTCTGGCCCAGGCTTGTCTGTGGGAGTACCACAGTACCGCGAAGCTCACCTGGTCTGCGTCTTCCCAGTGGGTGCCAGCCACTGGCAGCCCCGGGGCCCTCCTCGTTTCTCCGTTTAACGTGGAGTGGAGATTCTCTGCGTAGGCTGGAGGTGTGGAGGAGTCAAAGTTTTGCCTTTTCTCAGTGATTATGCCTGCAAAGTGTGTCTCCAGTGTCTCTCCAAGATTTCACTATAGGAGGCTCGCTTTCTGCTTCCTCCCTCTATCCGCCATCTTGAGAGATCCCAAACTGGCTTTAAACTGCGACCCTCCTGATCTCTGCCTCCTGTGTAGCTAGGATTAGTGGTGGGAGCTATTGGCGCCCAACTATCTACTGTGTTTTTCAGAGGTCTCCTTGAGATGTCATTCATTCTTTGAGAAATAAACAGGAGCAAAAGCAGTTTTGAGAGTTGGGTCTTAATAGACTCTTTCATGTATTGAATGCCTGTGTCCTTATGAAACACATACACCCTTATTGTGAACACATGATTTCTGCACATACTATTCACATATCTCACAAAAGGGATTCATGATAATAGGTACAGTGAGGCATACCTGTAATCCCAGCACTAGGGAGGCTGAGGCAGGAGGATAGTGAGTTCCAGGCTAGCATGGACTATATAGTGAGACCTCTTTCAAAAAACAAACACAACAAAAAGTGATTCTCTGTCAACAAGTATCACTTTCTTCTGGATATAATAACAGAACTCTTTCATCTGGCAAATCCTTTGATTCTTCTCTCTGATATTCTGTGGAACTTATTTCTTGTTTTAATGTATTTTCTAGAACTGTTAGTGGTCAGTGGCAGGTAGTCCAAACCAGGAACATCTACAGCTAAAAGATTAATCACTCATATTAACAGATAAGTCAGATTGCTTAGGATATCTACCAAAAGCAGGTGATAAGACCAAATCTAGTCAGCCAAGTAGAACATTTTTGTCTTCTTTGGCAGTCCTGGAGTTTGAACTCAGGGCTTTCCACTTTCTAGAACATTTCTGTCTTCAGTGAATAAGAAATAGAAGATAGTACAGAAAGCCAGACATTGCAGTTTGGAGATGTCCAACTAGAGGCAGGGATTTGGAACAAAGATTGTGATTCTAAAAATGGATGTGTATTTAGCAGAGGGGCATTTTGAGTGCAGCAGCTGTGAGGGCAACATTCAGAGGCTAGAACCAAACCTCTGGGGAGATAGGTGAGAATAAGCACTACTGACATGGACCTAGTTATTTGAATTGGGATATTAGGGGGAAGCAGAACCAGTAACAGTACTGACATTACTCTGAGCCATCTAAGGTAACTGGCTAGAATTGGTCCACAATTCAAAATAGACTTGGTTAAGTCTGCTGGTGGGAATATGATTCCAACTTAGATAATTCAAAAGCAGCAGAGACAGAAGTGTCCTTGATGTTGCTCCACAGGGAAGGCTTACAAACTCCCTCTGACAAAGTGCTTCTTTTGCTCCACTCCCCCCCCCCACCTTCCCCCACCCCCACATACACACATACCTCTTGGTGCTGAGACTCAAACCCAGGGCTTCATGCACAGTAGGCAGGCTCTATACTGCTGAGCTACATCCCAGCCCTCTTAAAGTCCTTTGTTTACTTGTCTTTTGACAACTTGAGCCACTACACCGGCTCTAAGAAAGATATTTGTTCTTTTTAGGACTTTTTTTCTTTTTTTTTTTTTTTTTGGCAGTCCTGGAGTTTGAACTCAGGGCTTCCCACTTTCTAGGCAGGCACCGTTTGAGCCACATCTCCAACCCTTACTTGGTTATGAGTCCCAGCACTTTTGGACATTATTTATATTTTCATAAGTCCAGTTCTATAAATTTGTTTATTTTTTTCTGATGGTAACCAGGGTTTGAATGCAGGGCCTCATGCTTGCTAGGCAGGCACTCTCACTTCAGCTACACCTAAACCCACTGTCTTTTTTTCTTTTTTATAAATGTATATATACATCAAGAGTTTACAGGCTTTTGTGTTTGTTTTTTCCATCTATCTCTAGGGTTGCAATAGTTTCCAAATCTTTTGAAGGACAAACTGATCGCACAGAAGAGTGGTATGGAACTCAGTACAAACAAGAAGCAATACCTGATGAAGTCATTCAGGTAAGATTAAATCATCTGGAAATAAGACTGATGTCTGAGGAACCGTGAGACCATGAGCTTGCTACATCCACTAATTTAGGGCCCATTGTGTGGAAAGCGGTGGCCCATTATTGTCTGTACTGTCCTGAGAAGAGTGAACAAAGAGCTAGGAAACCGGAGTTTAGGGTTTTGCATGTAGAAATGTAGCTGTGGCTACCTTCTCCTGTGTCTGCCAGACCAACAAGGCTGCAAAACAGACTCACATCTTCAGATAGAGTATTAAAGTACAGTGTACACAGAGAAAGAGAGTCACCACAAAAGGCAACAAGAAGTAAGGAAACCTGCTTGCATGAAAGAAAGGTGGGCTCCAGATTACTTGCAGTGTTGCTATGAACCTTGCCAGGGAGTAGTCTTTGGGATTCATACTGTCTTGACTTTAGAAGTGTTATATTTTATGCCTAATATTGCATGTCAACATAGGAGAATTAAGACTTGTTTCAAAACAGGTATTTAGATAGTATTTTAGCACATTCATTAGCAATCAAAATTTAGCTTGTTTCTCTTGACTAATTACTTTTTTTTTTTTTCTTGCTTTTGTGCTCATTGCCTATGTGCCCTTGAGATTGGATCCATTACTCATGGGAAGATACCAGAAAATCTTACTCTTAATAAATTCTAGTTAACCTCAAGTAGTGAGTGCTTTTGAAATGTGCTTGTGTAATTACAGTGGGAGGGGGGAAAAGAAATAATTTAAGAAAGAAAATCATCACTGCTACTTTAGGGATCTCTGACATGTTCATAGTACAAAGTGAGATCACAGAAGCCCTGCAAGGTGTAAACAAATTCATCTTATAAACTATAATTCATCTCATGAATTAGATCTGGGTCTGAAGTAAGCCTGTAACAAAAGAGAAGTTCCCTGTTTACCAAAATATGACCTTAATAACCTTAATAACTTTTTCCTGAAGGAAAATTTATGAAAAATTATGTGGGAGTTCAGCAGTGAAGTTATTTGCTAAGTGTTTCTTATTCACATTCTGCAGACTTAAGCTTCAGCTTAAATACTATGGCCAGCATCTCCACCCTACAAGTGCCAAAAGATACAAATGCATGGACAAAATAGAACTACAAAATCTACAAGGCTGTACCACATCAACTAGAGACCAAATTTCTGAATCCAAGCAGTCATTTGCCTTAAAATATTAATAATAATAATAGGCCTGAGGGTATGGCTCAGTGGTAGAGCACTTGTCTAGCATGTGCAAGGCCCTGGGTTCAATTGCCTACACTACAAAAAAAAAAATCTTATAAATTAATGGCTTGTGGTCTATCCCACTTAGCTTTTACAACCAGCCTAGGGAATAGATCCAACTTGCAGCTGTATCAGCCTATTAAATCTTAACCTTGTCTTAAATTACTGTTTCATTTAAGAGTTCACATGGCTATGGTCATCTGGGAGAGCTACAGGTCAGTCCTTAAGAAGAAGTACTGAGGTGAAAGAATGCTCCTTAAACTTAATTTTCAGGCCATACATGGAAGTAACATAACCAAAAGGATGGCTGTTAATGTAAATGACCTAACAGTTGGGGTAGTATATTCCCTGTATAGATTATTTCTTTGTTCTTAGAGATCTAGAGCAAACATGACCTTCATGTGTAGCAGTCAGCTTCTCTATGTTCTGCATTCTCAAATTACTCCTTATCCTTAGCTGATCACTTTGGAACTGTACAAAGAAAAGATAAGTTCAAAATCTTCATTTGTACCAGAAAGATAAAGTCAAGTTTTATGAAAACCTATCAGTAGATTGCGGTTGTAGCCCCTTTATATGTGATGGAAAGGATGCTGTCAGACATTTGTTTCCTCCATATTTTTGCTTAGACATTGAGCAAAAAGACAATTCTTTCTTTCTTTATTTTTTTTGCAGTGGTATATTAGGGCTCAAACCCAGGGTTGTATCTCTAAACCAAACACAGTTTTTAACTCTTGAATCACACTCTAATTGCTTTTGTGTGCATGTTTTATTATTCATCCAGAAATGGCAAAATGCTGACCTCAATGGGAAATTTAAACTTCCAACAAAAAATGAATTCATTCCTACGAATTTTGAGATTTTATCATTAGAAAAAGATGCAACACCATATCCTGTTCTTATTAAGGTAATGTGGTTTTTGTTTGTTTGTTTGTTTATTGTTTTCAGATAGAGTCTTGCTATATTGCCTAGTATGGACCCAAAATCATGGAGTCAGGTAATCCTTCTGCCTCATCCTCCCAAATAGCTGGTTCTGCAGGCATGTGTCACCACACCTGGCAGAATCTGGTTTTAAATTTTGGTGACAGACTTATTACATGTAGAACTAGCAGGATAATTTCTTTATTAGGTGATTGGGAACCTTATCCAAGAGATAACAGAAATCATGCAGAAAAAAATACAAGAACTATTAGAAAGTTAAAAATATTACAGCAAGCTGGGTGCCTATGGCTCACACCTGTAATTCTAGCTACTCAGGAAGCAGAGATCAGGAGGATCACGGTTCGAAACCAGCCTGGGCAAATAGTTCGTGAGACCCTATCTCAAAAAACCCTTCACAAAAAATTGGGCTGGTGGAGGTGGCTCAAGGTGAAGGTCCTGAGTTCAAGCCTCAGTAGCACAAAAAAAAAAAAAAAAAAAAACTACTAAACAATGCAGAATCTAGAAAATTGTTTTATTCGCAAGACAAAAAATGTCGGCACTGTAACCACAAGTCTGTCAAAAAGTCCCCACCTCTTTTCCGTATCCATTAATGACTCAGTAAGGAAGTAGGTGTATCTTGCATCATGAAAGTTAGCAATAAGAAACAATCTCTGAAGTGTAGAAGAGAGCTTGTCTAAGGGAAGCTGTTGGATTGCTGCCTTTAAAAACAATTCTCGGGGACTGGAGGTGTGGCTCAGCAGTAGAGCACCTGCCTCACAAGCATGCAGGCCTGAGTTCAAACCCCAGGCTGAAAAAGAAGACAATTCTCATTATGACACAGTGGCCATATGAAGTTTATAAGTCCAAGGGAGGGGGGATTGAGAAGTGGACCATTTTCCCCTCTTTTTCAGAATGTTCTTTTTATGTCATTATTTAATTCTGTGGGTAAAGAGTATAGAAAAGTGGATCAAATTACTGCAGCACTTTCTCTTTTCTAAACTTATAAACTAAAACTCGTTTTATAATTATTCCAAAATAAAGAGTATCTTTCATCATTTTTCTCTTTTTCAAATGACGTAACATTCAGATTAAGTTAATGAGATAAGAATCAGGGTCTGACGGAGTGGCTCAAGCGGTAGAGCTCCTGCCTAGCAATCTTGAATTCCTGTATTCAACCCCAGTAATGCCAAAAAAAGAGAATCAGTGTTTAGGAATATGAAATTTAATTTATCTCAAGCAACTAGATTTTAATGAGACACCTATTTATCTTTTAAAATTATTTAAGTGAGTTATCAGATTATGCAAAGAGAAAATTTGTTTACCTCTCCTATTTTTTTTATTGGCTGCCTTTTTTTGGGAGGAGGAATGCTAGGGATTGAACCCAGGGCTATGGACATGCTAAGCACACTTTCTGCTACTCTACTGTACCCCTTGGTGTCTGTTTTAAATAGGCCTTCTCAGAGTAAAGTAAGGACAACAGTAGACCACTTATATCTCTTGACAGAATTTCATGGTACTTTCAAGTAAACATCTAAGACCAATTTTAGTGTAACATGAGTGAAGTGAGAGTCAAGGTAGTAGCTTATTTGTTCATCCTTGTGTGTTAATTTTCTATTGCTACATAACAAATTATTCTAAAACTTAGCAGTTGAAAACCATAAACATTAAAAAATAAATAAAACTACAAACATTTGTTATGCATGTAGTTCCTGTGGCGGAGGGTCAGAAATTCAGAAGTGGCATAATTGGTAGTTGTTGCTCAAGTTCTCTAACGAGCTTATAGGCCTGGGGCTTTGGCCATCTGAAAGCTCAACTAGGGCTGGCAGATTCTCTTCCAAGTTCAGTTATGTGGTTGTTACCAGGCCTTAGTTCTTAACACATGGATCTCTCTACAGTGTAGCTTCTCCCAAAGTGATATATCCAAAAGGAAAAGTGAGTGAGCAAGATGAAAGTGACAGAGTCTTATATTGTAATCTTGGAACTATCATACCAGAACTTCTGTCATTTTCTGTTAGTCAGGCAGATCAGCTCTGTCTGGTCCAATTTTGGGAGGGGAGAGCTACATGACAGTGTGAATCCCACTAGGTAGGGATCGTTGTAGGCCACCTTAGAAACTGGCTGCCATACCTTCCCCCAAAGGAGTCCTGTATCTATTTTCCTCCCAGTGTCCAGAAAGTAGAGGACGTGACAACTGGTGTTAGCTTCTCCAATCTGTCTCTTCCTCCTCTCCCTAATCCAGGGGATATAGAAGGCTGATTTCTCTCTGCTACAGGGGTCAGCAGTCTTCTCTCAGCTACCTACTTGATAACCCTCTGAAGCCATGGGATAGCAGCCTCAGAACAAAACTTTCAACTGTTACCTCTGCTCTCCTCTTGAAGATAGATTTGATTGGACATTCTGAATATGTGCCTGTATTTCCCTAACCAGATTGTTTCTCCATCATAGGATACAGCTATGAGCAAACTATGGTTCAAACAAGATGATAAGTTTTTTTTGCCGAAGGCTTGTCTGAACTTTGAATTTTTCAGGTATGTAAAGTGAATCTAGCTGTAAAGTTTATAAAACTCAACAATTATATTTTTATTAAGTTTTTTGTCCTAGACCATCTTTATCTAAAAATAAAAAGAATTAGATTTTTCCTATACAAGGGAAAAGCTGCTGCAAAGAAGTGTTGTAAGAATGAAGTCTTTCTTTGCATTAATGAGTACATGCTTTATGGTTTCGTTTTGTTGGTTTTTGTTTTGTTTTGATGGTACTAGGGTTTGAACTCAGGGCTTTGTACTTGCTAGGCAAGTGCTCTGCCACTTGAGCCATGCCTCCAGCCTAAGTACACATTTTAACCAAAATGTTAGCAGTTATTAGGAAGACCTTCCTAGCCTTCAGGACTTTGGAATCTGGAAAGGCTATAGATTTACCCAGAAGATTCATTAAGGAAAGAATAAATACTTTGAGGTGTTTTTGTTTGTTTGTTTGTTTGTTATTCCTGGAACTTGCCCTGAAAAAGAGATAGTAGTTGCAAAATGATCTTAAGTTCTTCTCAATCTTTTAGTTGTCTGGAGCTTTTACTTTATAATTTTGTTTCTTTTTCTTGGTTTTTTTGTTTTTTGTTTTTTTGTTTTGAGACAAGGTCCCCTTGCCTCAGCCTCCTGAATGCTGAAATTACAGGCATGTACCATCATGCCCAGTTCACTTTACAATTTCATATTTCTAAAATTTGGTGGTCTTATTTGTGAAATAAACCTATCATCGTATAATAATTTTCAATAGAATGACCAGCTTTTTCATTAGTTTCACGTTATTCAGTTGACTAGACATGATATTAAAGTGAGGCGTGTTTTAAACTGTTTTCAAAAAGAGGAAGAAAAATCTCGAAATAGAAGGTGAATAGAATATTCCATCAACAAATATATTGAGATATTTTGCTTGATATATTAGATGTACATATTTTCTAGAACTGTGCTGAAATTTTTAGGTTTTTTTTTTTTTTAACAACAAACCAGGTCTGTCAGGTTATGTCTTTATTATTGGATAAAGACTGCTTTTACTTTTTGACAGTTGAGTGGTAGTTTTAATACTCTGAGCAGTTTGTTACCACTTTTTCATTTTGCTGTTATAATTACGGATTTCTTTAGATTACCTTTTAAAAGACTATTTGACTTTTTTGTGTTCTCTGAACTGCCCAGCACAGTTCTAGAACTGAAAATGTTTGCTTCCCCCAAATCTCTCTCGGTCTGGTCTTCCTAGAGGTAAATACTGTTGGTTTCTTAATACAGTTTATTAGAGCTTGTATGTGTGTGTGTCCTTTTCATCTTTCAGAAATAGGATTAATTACGTGTGCTTAGTTACAGTTGTTAAAACCCTGTGAACTATATTTAAGCATATAGTATCTGGTTATAAATAATATATTTGAATCAGAATGAGCCAGAATTTATGTATTCCGCTGCAATCATGTTGTCTTTTTAAAGTTAAGTTTAGGCTGTCTCCAGTGTGTACTAGCACAGCTGCTGTGAATGCAGCATTTTAGGACACTTACTGGAATTACATTATAAGTTTGAGTCATATGACTGAACTCCCAGACATGTCTTTTCTAACTTTTCACTCCCACTCAGTTGCCCATGAGGCTGAGCTTTGTCATAGCTTCTCTTTTGTTTGAATGACTTTTTTTATGTGTGTGTGTATATGAACCATGTCTTTTAAGTTTCTGATCTAATGCTTGCCTAAAAAAGACAATCTATCATCATTTATAATACTTTGTTATTACTATTATTATTACTACTACTTGTGGTGCTAGGGATTGATCCTGGGGCTTTGTGTATTCTTGGCAAGGGCTCTGTCACTTAGCTATATCCCCACCCCTATGTTATTTTTGAGACAGGTTCTCACTAAGTTACCCAGGCTGGCCTTGAAGTTGTTATATACGCCATTCAGGCCTCAAACCTGTAATCCTCCAGCCTCAGCCTCCCAAGTAGCTGGAATTACAGGTATGTACCACCATGCTTGGCATATATAATACTTTAAGAGAATTAAATGGCAGAGTATTCATTTAGGTAGTCTAGTTGGAGATTGTTTTGGATAACAGTAGAACTTTCTCTGTGATTTTAATTCTCTAAATGTCTAAGCATTTAACACTATTTTTGCTTTATTATTAGCTTTGATGGAAGTGTTGGCTTTAATATCAGTGTATTTTATATTATATACTGTAGTGTATTTACTGTGCTGCAAATAGAATGAAAAATTTAATTTGCTGCCAGAGAAGCCAAACAGGCAACCGCTTTTGTCCACAGCACTAGCTGTTTGTTTTCTACTCCACAACCCAGATATCCCCAATGCTTGCTCTTTTCTTAGCTCAGGCTTAGGCCCAGATGTCACCATTACCAGCCTGGGAGTGACCTGATTAACTAGCTTACATAAACTGCCAGTCTTCCTTCCCTGCTTCTCCTGCCTCATAATTCCCTATTCCCCTTAGGTTAATTTTTCCCTGTTGCACTATCACCACTTGATGTATGAAATTTAAATGTTTTTTCTCCTCTACCTAGATTATACGTCCTGAGAGGTCAGGGACTTTGCCTGATTTTTTGTTTCTTCTTCTCAGTGCCTAGAGAAGAGCCTGGCACTGTAATAAGCATGTAATACATATTTGTTGAATAAATCAATGTTTTACTTAATTCTGATAAAGATAAGCGCTCTCAGAGTCAAATAAGTAGGTTGACTTGCATTTGAACCCCATCTCTGAATAATAAAACAATAAAAAAAAAAAGAACCCCATCTCTGCTGATGCCAGCCCAGGGCATCTGAGGAAAATTATGTTTCCTATCTAGGAAATGGAAGTTTTCTTCATTTTCTTATCTGGGAAATGAAGACTAATTGATCTCTGGTCCTATTTAGCTCTTGCCCTCTATATTGTTTCTTCTCCTTTGTTAGTCTTTTTCATATATTTTAATATTTTTTCTGTATTCTAGCTGCAGTTTTATGATGGAATTTATAGATTGTTTTACTGACCCAGTGCCCTCGCTTTATTGATTTGGGAGAAAGCTCAGGAATAAGCTAGTATATTCACAGTTTTTCTCTTTTAAATTCATATAATTACAGCACCAAATTTCTCCATATTTCTGTTCACCAAAGATGTGGCTTGCTTGGAGAGAGAGAGAGAGAAGGCATTTAAATGCTTTGCCAACTCTCTCAGACATGCTTCCACCTATATTAATCTAAGGACAGGCATGTGTGTTAGCTCTTTCCTACTCTTACCTGTCTTGCATTTCTAACTTGTCAGTTCTGCCACACCATTTGGGATAAGTGACTCTGTCTTCCTCTCATTTCCACCAGCATACACATAGAATACTTCAGACTTCTTTTTTCGCCATCTGACTTTTTTCCTCACAAGAAGAAGAAACAGACTCAAGAATTCAACCATGCCCTCAGGAAATTATATTAACGAATATTCAATTTCTTGATCCATCTCAAAAGGCCACATTACATTGGGAAATAATAAATCAGCTATTTTACTGTCAACATTTTCTTCCAGCCCATTTGCTTATGTGGACCCTTTGCACTGTAACATGGCCTATTTATACCTTGAGCTCCTCAAAGACTCACTCAACGAGTATGCATATGCAGCAGAGCTAGCAGACTTGAGCTATGACCTCCAAAATACCATCTATGGGATGTATGTAAGTACCCACGTCTTAGAGCCTTCCACTCATCAACATTTTTTATATTGATTTGTTGGAAGCATTTTTGATTGAGGGTATGAGTTTAATTTCTTTTTTTTAAATCTTTATGGCTAATCATATTTTCTCTTCATTTAATTTTTTTAAGTTAACTTTTGTTCTTTATATTATTCATATTATGCAGATTTTCCTTGATTTTTTTTTAACATCTTTCATCAGATTGTCATATTTTTCTCCTCAAACAAAATTGAACCCCAATTTAGGTTTAGCTAGATCCCACTCATTCTATATCAGAATGATGTTCTCTCTTTGTAAAACCTAAGTTTGGCCTACACTATTTCCCTAGAATTCCAGATCATGAGGCTGCATATCCATACTCTTCGGTCATGTTTCTTCATTATCATGCCACTGCTTGAGGTATCAAAGCATTTCTTTTGTTTTTCTTTTTGTTAGTCGCTACATTTATGCTGATCCTCTCCATTGCAACATGACATACCTGTTTATCAGGTTATTGAAGGATGATTTAAAAGAGTATACATATGCAGCACGCCTCTCAGGTTTGAGCTATGGCATTGCATCAGGAATGAATGCAATACTTGTAAGTAAAATGCAAACCAAAGAAAAGGCACCACACCCTTTAAGCTTTATGTTGAGCTTGGGAAAACTATTAACTTCTGCATTTTTAAGCAAGAACGTTGATGGTTTTTTCCTTGCACCTTTTTAATGATTGAAGAACTCAAATTAGTTTTAGTTCCACTAATAGAGATTTGTAACACTTAGTGCATCTTGTGAACATATATGTGTGCTACACGTGTTTGCATATTCCACTTGAGGTGCTTAACATACTAATTCTAAAAGCATGTTTTTCTTTCCATGTATTTGAGTATAATACCATCTGTAATTAAAAGATATCCATAGTTATTCTTGTAATGCTTAAATTTTACTAATATATAAGCTTTTGTTTCTGTGAAGAGTAGTAGAAAGTTCCTTTGTTCAAATATACCTGATAATTGATTTTGTACCATGCATCATTAACTATTTTACATGTGTTACAACTGGATCCTCAGAAGTGTTTCTGATGTGTTTCCAACCTTGATTGTATCTGTTTCAAATTAACATCTCTTATGGCAAACATTCATTTTCACTTTTCTTGGAAATACGAATTTTAAAAAAACTAAAATGAGAACATTTCTCCTTTAAAAAAAAAAATCTCACAAGTTGTTTAGGATTTTTAAATTTTATTTATTTTGCTGTAGATTTTCTTCCTTCCAAATTAAGTTTTCTGATAGATTTTGTTTACTATATAGTTATTCTCAGAGTTCACAGGTTTGAAACTCAGAGTCCAGAATTAACTCTAAATAGAAAACTAATAATCTATTTTCTGGCTTTGCTATTATTGACTTTTAGCAGCATATTATCATTAAAAACAGATCATTTTTATTTCTGATAAAATGGGCTTTCTGCTAGTTGTCAGTCTGGTTCATACATAACATGACTTCCATGGCCAAGCACCTTCACTTGCTTAGGTTCTCGTCTTTCATTCTTGACAGGGCAGACTTTCAGACATATTAGGAGCAGTGCATCCTGTGGTGCCACTATGAGCAAATACAGTAACAGCTGTTCCCCCATTCCCTGGTTTTCAAAGTATTAGACTTTCAGAGACAATTTGAGAAAATGGTCTGAAGACAAAATCCTGATGATATATGTAGCATGTCCTCCCTACACATTTGTTTTACCTGTGGCTTTAGAACATCAGCAGAACTCATCAAATAAGCATGTGGTTAGATTTGAGTCCTCATTGGGGAACACTGATGAGAGTTGCACATGCTATGCAGTATAAAACAGGGCCACTTGCTTTCTCCAACGATGATTTTTTAAATATTTATATGCAGTTTGGGGACATGTCCAGTAGTTAGCTAGGTAATAGTCCCCTGTGATTTTTACCTTCTTAGTACTTCTATAAAAACTTTAAGCCTACCCATCATCAGAAGTTCTTTTTTAAGATAAAACTTAGGGGCTTAAAATGGTAGCTCAGTAGTGGAACATGTACTTAGCATGCTGGAGACCCTGAGTTCAATCCCCAGCACCAGAAATAAAAAGATAACACTTAAACACATTCTGTAATTAAGTTTGATATAATGAGAACATGAATTTTATGTTGTAATATGGGTTGCCATGGTTTGGCATCATGTGAGTTGACTTTGTTTAAGAAAAGTGAAATTGCGCTTTTGGGTTTTAGTTAATGTAAAGATGGTTAATGTTATCTTCCTCCATGTTAAACCATTTATGAGAAGTTAAATTCATTGAATTTCTTATTTCATTTTTGTTTTAATATACCTGGCTTTGGGATATTAAAAAAATTAAGCTTAATTAAGATAGAAGTTATTTTGTATTTTTTAGACTTTTAATACCCTGATCTCTTTCTGTAGCTGTCAGTTAAAGGTTACAATGACAAGCAGCCAATCTTGCTAAAGAAAATTACTGAAAAAATGGCTACCTTTGAGATTGATAAAAAAAGATTCGAAATTATCAAAGAAGCAGTAAGTTTTCTAACTCATTTTTATAATGATTTTTATTCATAAAGTAACATTGCCATATTATGAAAATTTTTGATAATGGTCAAAGGATCAAAAGAAGCATTCGTAATCTTGTAGTCATCTCATCTTATCTTTGCTGAAACCTATTCTCTACTCAAAAAGAAAGTCTAGCAGACTCAGGTAGACACTTGGCCTCCTTCTCAGTGGGCTTTAAGAGCTAATGCAGTTGCAATGCTGACTTTCAAAGAGAAGCACAGAGTGGTCGTCAGGCTTTTTGTAGGTTTCAACTCAACCTCCCATTTCAGGCAAATGTGCTGAAGCAGAGTAAGGCCTGCCCTGTAGCCATAGCTTTGTCACACTGTGACTTAAAGTCATACCATGTTTGGCCCAAAAATTGGAAGTACGAGATGGATAGCTGCTTTCAAAGATAAATTGTTGGGGAGGGGGCGGAGGGGGAGAGACAGTATGGGTAGTATAAATAATATACAATATAAGTCTGATTGGAATTGTCACTATGAATCCCCCCTGAATAATGAATATATCCCAATAAAAAATTTATATAAAAATATATTTATCTTTATAAATTGTGACCTTCATTATATACCATAAGAAGCGACCATCAGTTTTCAGTTGAAGATCTAATATATATCTATCCACGTTACTTGCTTATGAAGACTTTGGGAATGGTCACGTGTATAGTGTCTAAGGGTGCCAAAAGATGTGAAAACTGGGACATTTTTGAGGATTAAAAGTTGCCCATAACGAAGACATTTAGAGAACATGCCACATAATTTAAAGGGGTAAAGATGCAGTCTGGATAATAAAAAAAGCATGCCCTTTAATTATATAGTTTCAAGAGGAGAAAGAAAGAAATACTCCTGCATCCCAGTAACACATAATTTATACAAAATGCAGTTTACTCTAATCTTTAGAATGATTTTTAAAAGATTTGTAAAACTGATGAACCCCTGTATCCCTTCACTGTAGTATATGCGGTCTCTTAACAATTTCCGGGCTGAACAGCCTCACCAGCATGCCATGTATTACCTCCGTTTGCTGATGACTGAAGTGGCCTGGACTAAAGATGAGTTGAAAGAAGCCCTAGATGGTGAGACTTTTTCTATATACAGACTGCTGCTGTATTCATGTTTTCCAAGATCCTTTTGATTTATCCTGCTATCTCCTGTTCATATTTTTGAATAACTTACAGTTCTAAGAAAGTCAGCTGTGACTTGCAGTGGTGGCCAATTTCAGCACTTGAACAGCTGAGGCAGGAGGATCATGAGTTCAAAGCCATCCCAGCCTCATAGCAAGACCCTGTCTCAAAAAAACCAAAATTTTTTTAATGTTCTGCTGCGCACTTTTTTCATAAAAACAAAGGTGGCCTTTGAAGTAGCTTTTGCATTTAGATAGCATAGCCACATTTGCTGTTTTCAACCTGGACCCACACAGTTAATGATTACTGTTCATAGGTCTCTGCAGTTGACCAAATGCTCTGACCCAAGCTCTTAACTTCTTAATATTGAACTTTTCAGAAAAGGGAAAATGGGCTGAGCTTGAAAGTCATCTTATAACACAGAAGCAGCACTTAGGCTTTTTTTTTTTTTTCCATGCTGTGGTACTTTTTAGATCTATTTAGTTCAGTTAAAAATTGTTAAATGGGACTAGCAGAGTGGCTCAAGTGGTAGAGTACCTGTCTAGCAAGTGTGAAGCCCTGAGTTCAAACCCCAGTGCCACCAAAAAAAAAAAAAGTCCGCACAACAGTAACCCTAGCTCAGTGTAGAGCACTTGTCTATCATGCAGTAGGCCCTGGATTTGATCCTCAACACTGTGGAAAAAAGAAAGTGTCAGTGTTAATTTCTTAGGTTTGATCATCATATTTTGGTCATTAAAGATGTTAACATTAGGGAAAACTAATGTTCAAAGGAACTCTAGTATTTTTGTAAGTCTTCTGTAAGTCTCAAATTATCTCAAAGCTTTTGTTTTTTGTTTTTTAGCTATATGTAGAGCTCACTGTTTCTTACTTCTTTACAGACGTGACTCTTCCTCGCCTTAAGGCCTTCATACCTCAGCTACTGTCACGGCTGCACATTGAAGCCCTTCTCCATGGAAACATTACAAAGCAGGTAAGCAGTTAAAGTTTTGGCAATCTTTTGTGTATCACTATCAGATTTTTTTCCTCTGGTCTGTCTCAAGACTGTTAACTAGCACAGTGATAAGCACCTTAGAGTTTACTTAACCTTCTCTACTCTGTAGGAGATAGGAGAGAGCAGAGGAGAACAGGATGATGATGGTTAACTGAGGACCTACTGTCAGAGCTACCTCCTCTGCTGGTGCCTAGCTCATGCAATGATAGGAAGAAATGAAAATGATTATCTTACTCTGTACAGAGTCACATAATTCAGTATTAGCTAGCCTACATTCAAATCCTGACCTTCCTTATGCTAAATATGAAAATATTTTAACTCTGTTTCCTTATCTGTAAAATTAGAGTTACAGTAGCACCTACATCATGAGTTATGAGAATTAAATAGTACATGCGGAGTACTTAGCACATGAAAAGCACTAGAGATACTTTTTGGTGGGACTGGGATTTGAACTCAGACTTCCACTTATAGACACTCTACTACTTATCTTGGAGATGGGATCTCCTGAACTATTTGCCTGGGCTGACGTTGAACCTCAGTCCTCCTGATCTCAGCCTTCCAAGTAGCTAGGATTGTAGGCATTAGCCACCAGTGCCTGGCTGGCAGCACTACAGAATTTTTTTTTTTCTTTTTCTTTTATTATTCATATGTGCATACAAGGCTTGGTTCATTTCTCCGCCCTGCCCCACCCCCTCCCTTACCATCCACTCCAACCCCTCCCTCTCCCCCCCCTCAATACCCAGCAGAAACTATTTTGCCCTTATTTCTAATTTTGTTGTAGAGAGAGTATAAGCAATAATAGGAAGGAACAAGGGTTTTTGCTGGTTAGATAAGGATAGCTATACAGGGCATTGACTCACATTGATTTCCTGTGCATGGGTGTTACCTTCTAGGTTAATTTTTCTTTAATAACTAACCTTTTCTCTAGTACCTGTTCCCCTTTTCCTATTGGCCTCAGTTGCTTTTAAGGTATCTGCTTTAGTTTCTCTGCATTGAGGGCAACAAATGCTAGCTAATTTTTTAGGTGTCTTACCTATCCTCACCCCTCCCTTGTGTGCTCTCGCTTTTGTCATGTGCTCGTAGTCCAATCCCCTTGTTGTGTTTATCCTTGATCTAATGTCCACATATGAGGGAGAACATACGATTTTTGGTCTTTTGGGCCAGGCTAACCTCACTCAAAATGATGTTCTCCAATTCCATCCATTTACCAGCGAATGATAACATTTCGTTCTTCTTCATGGCTGCATAGAATTCCATTGTGTATAGATACCACATTTTCTTAATCCATTCGTCAGTGGTGGGGCATCTTGGCTGTTTCCATAACTTGGCTATTGTGAATAGTGCTGCAATAAACATGGGTATGCAGGTGCCTCTGGAGTAACAGTCTTTTGGGTATATCCCCAAGAGTGGTATTACTGGATCAAATGGTAGATCGATGTCTAGCTTTTTAAGTAGCCTCCAAATTTTTTTCCAGAGTGGTTGTACTAGTCTACATTCCCACCAACGGTGTAAGAGGGTTCCTTTTTCCCCACATCCTCGCCAACACCTGTTGTTGGTGGTGTTGCTGATGATTGCTATTCTAACAGGGGTTAGGTGGAATCTTAGCGTGGTTTTAATTTGCATTTCCTTTATTGCTAGAGATGGTGAGCATTTTTTCATGTGTTTTTTGGCCATTTGAATTTCTTCTTTTGAGAAAGTTCTGTTTAGTTCACTTGCCCATTTCTTTATTGGTTCATTAGTTTTGGGAGAATTTAGTTTTTTAAGTTCCCTATATATTCTGGTTATCAGTCCTTTGTCTGTGTGTAGCTGGCAAATATTTTCTCCCACTCTGTGGGTGTTCTCTTCAGTTTAGAGACCATTTCTTTTGATGAACAGAAACTTTTTAGTTTTATGAGGTCCCATTTATCTATGCTATCTCTTAGTTGCTGAGCACTACAGAATTTTTATGGCAGTCTGTCTTGAAAGCCCTCACTCTCTGTCACTCTGTTATACTGCCTCCAAAATAATATACCCAAGGTCAGATGCTAATAAGTGGCAGAGACAAGATGCTTTCCAAGGTTAATTTCACTCATAATAAAGCCTTATGCCCATCTCCTTTCCTTTGCTGTGACCCTAGGTGTCTGCAGTCAAGGTCATTCACTTGGGACCAACTTTGCATTACCAGTACCTCTGATCCAGCTTTGGCAGTACCTTCTTTCCCATCACGTAGATGATTGTCTGGGTCTCTGTTTCTCTTTACTACTACCACTTTGACAAATTCAATTTTTATCTATTTAAATAGGATTGAATAAATGTAAGATTTTAAAATTCCTTTTTATGATTAAGCTAAGCTACTTTATTTTACAAGCATATTTTCATATTGTAATGACTATCCAATATACTGTTTTTATTTTCACAAACAAGATGCACTTGTGGTTTTTGGTAATAGGCTATGACATATTTCCCCCTGCAGGCTGCATTAGGAATTATGCAGATGGTAGAAGACACCCTTATTGAATATGCTCATACCAAACCTCTCCTTCCAAGTCAGCTGGTTCGTTATAGAGAAGTCCAGCTTCCTGACAGTAAGTTGGAATATTATAACTTTGGAAATGGACTACTTTTTATACAATAATGTGGGTGATTACAGGTGAGTTGAATTCATTTGGATGACAATGTATAGTTTCATGGTAGAGATCTGTGGGAGCCTCTGTTATTTGTAGAAATATGGCTAGAGGTAGATAATTCTGCCAGAAAATTCTCTGGTATGAGAGCCAAAAAGATGAAATTGGAAATAGGCAACAATTTTGAAGAGAATGATACTAGAATTGACTGAGACTTGGGTATAGGAGAATTAGGAAGTAAAAACATCACAAAGCTGAAGAGATACTGATTGTAAAGCGTGAAATAAAATTTATTTATAAAAAATGGAAACTAGAATCATAGCATTTCACCAGAAACCCACTGAAATCTTTGACAGAAATAGTATTAAGACAGACAGTAGCTTTTATTTGTTATGTGTATGTGTGAGTGTGTGTGTGTATTTTGGGAGGGAGAGTATCTGGGGTGTGAACTCAAGGCTTTGTGCTTGCAAAGTAGACACTAAAGCTTGTGCCATGCCTCCAGTCTCATTTTGCTCTGGTTGTTTTAGAAATTGAAGACTTGAGACCAAGCTGGTCTCTATTGCAATCCTACTGATCTCAGCCTCCCAAGTAGCTAGGATTGCAGGCGTGAGCCAACAGTGCCCAGTTAAGTGTATATTTTTATAAGGAATTAACAAAGAATTAATTTTACTTATGTATTGGGTTTGCAGTGTTAGGTTACTATTACATTAACAGTGGTTTCTTTTGATACAAAAACTCATTAAGCAGTGCTTCACTATCCTTCACAACTGTTTAATGGGAGGTATATTAGACCAAAAATTATATTAGAATAAGATAGATATTTTTTGCACACTTCACTATTGGTGTTCCCCATACATGCATCCTCTGTGTCCACCACCCTCATACACACAACTGTTCTAGTCTCCTAAAATAGGATTCCCTCTGTGTGTGTGTGTGTGTGTGTGTGTGTGTGTCCATCTTCCTCACAGACCTGTATCTGTACCCTACTCATCCTCCCTCACCTATTGTATTCCATATGTTAGTCAGCTTTACATCTTTGTGACAGAATACCTGAGATGAGCTATAAGGAAGAAAGATTTATTTTGGCTTACAGTCTTGGAGGTTTCCATCCTTGGTTAGTTGGCCGATTACTTTTAGGCTTATCACAAAGCAGTACATCATAGTGGAAGCACATGTTGGAGGAAGAGTAAGAGCTGGGGTGCCAGTATTCCCCTTCAAGGGCATACCCCCAGTAACCTAACTTCCTTTTACAAGGCCCCCCACCTCAAAAGGCTTTCACCACCTCCAAATAGTGCCACAGACTGGGGACTAGGCCTTCAGCACATAAGCCTATGGGGGGACATTCAAGACCCAAACAGTAGAGCAGGGATGTAGCTCAGTGGTAGATTGCTTGCCTAGCATATGCAAGGCCCTGAGTTAAATACCCAGTACTTCAGGTAGGGATCCAAACTATAACATCCACTAAACTTCTGTAACTGCCAGCTAGAAATAATTGCTTCTACTTCTGAGCTCCCAGCATACTTTTTCTGAACCTTTTTAAAGCTACTCATCACTTCTACTCTTGCATTTGGATTAAAAGGTATCACCATCTTCTTAAAATGTACATTCATTAATACCAGGGTCTTTGTCTGCCTCACTTGAGGAACTACTAAAACAACTCAATTATATTATTACCTCAGGATATCTTTGTTGAATCCTTAGAGATACCTTGAGCACAGCTAGCTGCTGCTCTGCATGGTCAGTCATCACAAAACAGGTAATTTTATTACATACTTCTGCTAGGGGATGTAACTAGCTCAGTTGTAGATCACATCCTTACCATGCAGGAGGTCCTGGGTTCAGTCCTCAACACCAAAATGGGGGAGAAGATTATGAGAGTGTAGCCCAAGTGGTAGAATACCTGCTTAGCAAGTTTAGGACCTAAATTCAATCCCCAGTATTGCAAAAAGAAAAAGTTTCTGGGTGTGGTAGCTCATACCTGTAATCCCAGCTACTCTGGAGGCAGAGATCAAGAGGATTAAGATTCTAAGCCAGCCCAGGTAACTGCCTTTTCAACCAATAAACCAGACATCGTAACAGATTCCAGCTATACAGAAAGCATAGGTAGGAGGATCATGATCTAAGACCAGCCCTCAGCAAAAACATAAGACCATTTCTGAAAAATAAGTAAAGCAAAAAAGGGCTGAGGGTATAGCTCAAGTGCTAGACTGCCTGCCTAGCAAGCATAAAGCCCAGAGTTCAAACCCCAGTTCAGAGAGAGAGAGAGAAGTACCCCAGTTTGCAGCCTTTTCTCAAAATGCTAGGTATTTGGAAATCATGATTTAGCCATCTGATCAGATGCTTTGTATGTTTTCGGGTTTTTTGAAGATGCTGGGGTTTGAACACAGAGCCTCACACTTGCCAGTCAGGAACTCTCCCACTGACACCACTCTACCAGCCCTCCCAACTGAACAAGTATGATTGCCTTAAATAATCCTCCATTTTAGTTTAGTTTGCTTTTGTTGGTGGTGTCATTGTTTCATTTGGTTTTTGCAGTACTAGGGCTTAAATTTGGGTTCTCACACTTGCTAGGCAGGCAGTCTGCCACTTGAGCCATGCCACCAATCCCATTTACAGTTTTTTTGGGATTTTAATTTTGTTTTGTTTTGTTGTTGTTGTTTTTTGCATTGCTGGGGTTCGAACTCAGGGCCTTACTCCTTGAGCCACTCACTAGCCCTTTTTTGTGATGGGTTTTTTCGAGATACGATCTCATGAACTATTTGCTTCAAACCTTGATCCTCCCAGTCTCTGCCTTCTGAGTAGCTGGGATTACAGGCATGAACCACCAGCACCTGGCCCCCATTTATAGTGTAAAAAGAAAAAAATGCACTGTGAGAAGGAAACATTTTGGAATATGTATGAAAAGGCTGGAAGTGGAAAGCCCATGTTCCCCTCCCTCTACTAATGAGAGGGAACTCATTAGTACTGCCAGCTTACAATCAATAAGTTATACATCTGAGGGACAAGCATAAAGCTGAGTGTGGTGGTGCACACTTGTAATCCTAGGGAGGCAGAGGCAGGAGGATCACAAATTCAAGGGTAGCCTGGGCTACATAGTGAGTGAGACCTTGTCTCAAAAAAAAAAAAGTGGGCAAGCTAGCATTGACTTTATTAAACACTAAGTGTGTTTTTTAACCTGTTGCTCTCTTTTTCTTAGGAGGATGGTTTGTTTATCAGAAGAGGAATGAAGTTCACAATAACTGTGGCATCGAGATATATTACCAAACAGACATGCAAAGCACCTCAGAGAATATGTTTCTCGAGCTTTTCTGTCAGATTATCTCTGAGCCTTGCTTCAACACCCTGCGCACCAAGGAGCAGCTCGGTGAGAAGGAAATGGGGGATAGCAGGATACTATAAACCTTAATTAACAACCATTGCCCTAGAAAACATTTTCCACATGTGCAACCACTTGACACTGTGTATCTGGCATGTTTATTCAGAGAGACTTATGAACACTTTGATACATAGAATCCACATCTAAAAGATAAACAGTCACTTACAGACATTACAGCAATTCTTAATGAGATGACACTATATTAATATTGCACACATTCAGTGAAAAGTATAATTTAGGTACCAAAGAGAAATGCTGAGGGCAGACTTATGGGTAGCAAGGTGGAAGCAAGCCTTTCAGAGAAGCTTAGTCACCAGACTTTGAGTTAGTTACCTGAGGGCAGGTATTATCTCTTGTTTATCTTTGTTCTTAAACCTGGAACATATAAAAGGTATTCAGTAAGTATTTGAAGAATTTTTGGCACTGTTAAAAGTCTTGGAGGTCTTTGCATGTTTAATCTATGAGGAAAGAAATTCAAAGCCTCCATAATGGCAGATAACCAATGAAAAAAGATTTGGATGTGTCTCCCCAAATACGTCAAGATGTTTGGATAGTCATTCCTGGGTCCTGAAGGCCTGTACTGAAGGCCTGTGCTGAGACCATCTGCCCTGCCTCACTCTGGGAGTACTAGGGCCACCTGCTCCACATGGTTGGCTCCTCCAGACCCTCCTGCTTAACCCTCTTCTCAGTTGGCCCAGTGACAGGTGCTGAGCCCCTTGCCTTTCACACTGGAAACATCAGAGAGATCAGTGCCCTCACTTATTGCCCTCTGAACTAACCCTCTCCTATAGGCTGTAGTCAGTGGCTACAGCCTATACCTTAGAAAGACTTCAGGTCTCTCTTCCTCCATCTCTGCCATGAGACAAAGCTAGTACCTCTTTCTTCTGACCCTTCCCAGGCTTATTTCCCCAGGGAGTGACCCAGGAGAAGTGGGGGACTGGTAAGCTGCCAGAACCTCTGAGTCTGTATCTGCAATCTCCTGCCATGACCCCCTAGGAGCCAGGCTTTTGCCCCCAGCCTGGAGTACAATCCTGTACCCCTATATCAGAAAGGAAGCTGGGGTGAGACTGAGGCTAGACATGACCGGAGACTTGCCCATGTGTGTTTTTCTGGGTTGTGGCTAGACAGCCAACTCTCTTGTTCAAAGTGGTCCACCTGACAGCCACCATACCTGCCCCCTGCACATTCTGGGATGGGTCTCACTCTCCACCCTGCCAATCCCCCACCACATGTATCTCACTGTAAGTGTTTTTGTCTTTTATGTTTTGTAAACCTCATTTGTATAGTTCTAAATGACCATGGTAGTAGCTTTGAAATGAAAAGAGCAAAATAAAATAACAGGAGTCTGAGATGGGAGGGGAGAAAGAAGGAAGGAAGGAAGGAAAGAAGGTGTGTGGAAGGGGGCTAGGGTATGAACTCACTAGATGCTAATAGGAGTTGACCTTTAGTTAGCCTTATGAGAGCACAATTTTAATATAGCTGGTCCAGAAATGGATTGCCTTAATAAGAAATGCATTTGTAGAGCCAGGATCATGTAAGGAACTTAGATGTTAAAGCAGACAGAGCTAGGACAGTGGTGGGGATAAAAATGAGTACAGAATTTCACAGGAATGGGAATAACTTCAGCTTAGACTAAAGATTAGCTAGCAGGTTGGGGGCTGGTGGCTTACTTCTAATCCTAGCTACTCGGGAGGTAGAGATCAGGAGGATCATAGTTCAAGGCCACCCTAGGCAAATAATCTATGAGATCCTATGTCAAAAAATACCTAATACACTGGGCTGGCAGAGTAACTTAGCCATAAGAGCACCTGCCTAGCAAGCGTGAGGCCCTGAGCTCAAACCCCAGAACCACCAAAAAAAAAAAATTAGCAGAATGAGGAATTATGAATGTGAGTTTAAATAATGAATAGGGTTGTACTCTTTCTGAAAAGAAAAGTCACTCCAACTTTCTAACTATTCTTCAGGGAATCCTTCTGTTCTTAGGAACTGAGATTATCTTAATTTTTCTTATTTCTTTAGAAGTAAATAATCAAATCCTAAAGTAGATCTTATTTACTATGAAAGATTTAAAGTGACCCTAGTCTCAAATGCCAAGATCCTGACTGGTTTGGTGTTATGTTTCAGGCTATATTGTCTTCAGTGGGCCTCGTCGAGCCAATGGCATACAGGGCTTGCGGTTCATCATCCAATCAGAAAAGCCACCTCACTACCTGGAAAGCAGAGTGGAAGCTTTTTTAATTACCATGGAAAAGTCCATAGAGGACATGACAGAGGAGGCCTTCCAAAAACACATTCAAGCATTAGCAATTCGTCGACTAGACAAACCAAAGAAACTGTCTGCAGAGTGTGCTAAATACTGGGGGGAAATCATCAGCCAGCAATACAATTTTGACAGAGGTAAGGTAAAAATAGAGCCTCAACATTTATGGCACTTAAGTGTAAAGCCTGAGAACATTGAAGCTGTTTTTAAAAATGTTGTTCATTTTGCAGGTGATGTTTCAGTATTGATTTGGTAGACAGATGCTCTACCGCCTGAGCCACACTTCCAGCTTCAGTATTGATTTGGCAGTGGGTGGCGGTGGCACTTCCAAAGAAATGTTATTTAATGTAACAGCAGTTTTCTGCTACAAACCTTTTCTTCCTTTAAACAAGAGCTGGATCTACTTTTATCTGATATTATTGATCTAATTCACAGTTTTTGTTCCCTCCAAGTACCCCTGAGACAGTAAGCACAGGTACATGGGTATCTATTTTCCATAACTATTAAAATGAAGCACTTAGACATTGAGACAAGTGCTGGCCTAGAGGCACAGAAATTCAAACTTTTACTTTTAAGAACCTCTAGAAATTTATCACCACTTTCAGATTTGGAAGAGCTGTGCTTGCTCAAATCTCCAGACTTATCAGCTTCTTTTCACCTTTCCTCTAGAGCAGGGATTAACATTAGAGGTCAGGACACCTGAGTTGTGTTCTTATTTTGATACCACAAGCTGAAGATCTTGACCAGTCACCTTTTATGAGCCTCAGTTTCCATACCTTTAATTTTTCTAGTTGGATTCACTATTGACAATAATAGTATCTACCCCATTTGTTGAGCATTTACCATGTGCCTAGCACCATGTCATCATCATATGTCATTTTCCTAATTGTCACTGCAGCTTTTTATTTCCCCTAATTTCCAGATAAGGAAGCAGTCTTATCTGGATTAACCCAAGCTCCCATCAGCTCATAGGAGAGAGCCAGGATATGAATGCAGGCCTGATTCCCAAGCCAGGCTCCTGCCTATTACACCACATCCACTTTTACTTGAAACCTATTCCCTGCCTACTTTATAGAAGCAGATGGCCACTTAAATGTATGGATACTTGAGAGGCTTGGGGTGAAGTGTGTTATTATTTAGTGGAGTATTTTGGACTGCTTAATACAGAAATACTAATAAATTATTGTTTAATTCCTTTTCAGATAATATAGAAGTTGCATATTTAAAGACACTTACCAAGGAAGATATCATCAAATTCTATAAGGTAAGTTGAATTTATTTATTTAGTTTTGACTGATACATATGTGCTGTGTTGTATATTGGCTGGTTTTCTGAAGGTGTTTTGTGGGTTTAATATTTTGACACATTTTAACCTATTACTGGAAAAATATAAAAATATATAGATAATTCTTGTTGAAGCCAGTACTGTTTTGCTTTCCCACTGGACCTCAAGGACTGTGACAGCCCTTCCTAGCTTCTAAATCCATGTTTCTGTACTTCACTCTTGCTTTATTTCTCTGTCTCCACCACATTGTACAAAAAACCTTGTTTGGTGGGGAGGAAGAACAAAGAAAGGGGCAGGCATGGTAGCTTATGCCTACAGTCCTAGCTACTTGGGAGGCAAGGTAGGAGGACTGAGGAGATAGAAGGATTGTGATTCAATGCTAGCCCCAGCAAAAGAAAAAAACGTTAATAAGACCCTACCTCTAGAATAAGTCAGGCACGGTGGAACATGTCTTTAATCCCAGCTACATGAGAGACACAGGTAGGAGGATCATAGTCCAAGTCCAGCCCAGGCAAAAAGTGTGAAACTCTGTCTGAAAAATAACTAAAGCAAAAGAGGGCTGGAGACATGCCTCAAGTAGTAGAGTACTTTTAAGGCTCTGAGTTCAAACTCTAGTACAATCAAAAAAGGAGGTCAAGATTCAGATTATTTTCCCAGCCCTGACAGCTATAAATTCTCTTCACCCATTTTGGTGTCACTGTGGCTACTGCTTTAAATAAGTGATTATTCACTTTTGAACTGTGTTCAGAGATCATACAAGTTTCAAATGCCTGTGCTCACAGAGACAGTTTATCAAGAGAGAAGAGAGGGGCCAATGTTAAAGATTTCCCAGCACAGCTTTAAGAGATTCACACCATCTAAATCTTTCCTTCCATATGACATTGTAAGAATAGCAAAATTTGCATTAAGTAGCTATATAATATAAAATAAGCATGTCAAATTCAGAAATTCAAAATGTATGCTGGGATAGAGTGGCATTTACATATTTAAAATGTTACATATATTCTTTGTAATTTATTGGATCTCTATTTTGTATAAATACTTTCACACCTAGTTTTTAAGACAAGAAAGAATTATACTCTGTGATTACTGCAGCCCTATAGAGTTGTCCTTAATGCGCTAGCCATTTCACCCAGACTGTCCCTGTGATTAGGAGCTATGTTTGACCAGGAACTCAGTCCCACCTCATGCTCACACCCCTTTAGAGAGGGGTCATCTACTTCACACTGTCATTGTTCCACGGACTATTGCAGCTGCCTGAATAAGAATCAGTGCTTGCAGTTCTCACTAGAATGGTTTTGTGAAATAAGTTGCACAGTGAAGCATGATCACATTTTTCTCCTCTGTTAGGGTTTTCAATGCTCATTTAATTCATTGATGCTGATGTTGTGAGAGATGGGGGTGGGGGTAAAAAGAAAAGAACAGTCCCTGCCCTGAAAGTGCTGACAGTTTTATAGGGGAAATGCTTATTTTGCTCTGTGCACAAGTTACCTTTTCCTCCCACCCATTTTCTGCAAAACTACAAGGATGCTGTTCTCTGTATATTCAGAAAAGTATGCAAATAATTGCAACACCTTAACCATAAAAAAGGCAGACTATAATGCTGTTTTTTAGACTTTGACAGCAAAAGCCAGTTCTTGAATGTATGTTTTTGTTTCTTTTTTGGTGCTGGGGATTAAATCCAGGGCTGGCACATGCTAGGAAAGGGCTCTCCTGCTGACTACATCCCAGCCCTGAATGTGCCTTTTCAAGCAGTGAGAGTTGATCCATTTTGGCTGTGGAAACAGACAGCTGGACAAGTTATTTTCTTTATTTCATGGCTCCTTTTGCCCTGTGTAGAGGAAGGCATCTTCCCCTCAACTCATCTAAACTTACTTTTTTGTAATGGTAGCCTTAGAATATATATAAAACAACCAAAAAAAGTTCTTTTTTGGGGGGTGCTGAAGTTTGAACTTAGGGGCCTCATGCTTGGCAGGCAGGCACTCTACCACTTGAGCCACACCCCAGCCCTTTTTGTTTGTTTGTTTGCAGTATTGGGGCTTGAACTCAGGGCCTACACCTTGAGCCACTCCACCAGCCCTTTTTTATGATGGGTTTTTTTTTTTTTTTCGAGATAGGGTCTTGAGAACTGTTTGCCCAAGCTGGCTTCAAACCTCGATCCTCCTGATCTCTGCCTCCTGTGTAGCTAGGATTACAAGCATGAGCCATCAGCACCTGGCCCCCCAGCCCTTTTTAAAGCAAAATTTTGATATGAAATACAACTCAAATAGCCTTTGTGTTCATGAAGAAAGAGCTTTAATAGGGTTGTAAGGAGCGAAGAATCAGATATAGGACATATGTTGCTTCTGGGCTCTCCACTTGTCTCAAGTACTTTCCTCTCTTCAGGTTGCTAACCACATCTCAGCTTCTCCTGAGTTCTTTTATCTGTGGGCAGTAACAGGAACGTGTGGAACCTCCGAATACAGACCTAGCTCCACCACCAGCTGATAGCTCTGTGACCTCAGCCAACTTACTTCAGCTTCAAAGTTTCAGTTTCGTTATCTAGAAAACAGAGATTAATTATAAATGGAATGAGGCATGTAAAGTGATTGACACTTGGTAGCATTTATTTTTCCTGGAATTTTGATGCTTTAAGTCAGGATGTGTTTTCCTTCTTGATGTTACAAAATAAAATTTTGTTTGTTTATTTACCACTTAAGCCTTGTGAGGATGGGTTTTCTCAATTGCCTACAAAAGAGGGTGCTTATGGTCTCTTTTTGTTTATTGAGATGCTCATTTTAAGATATTTATTACTAGTTTGGGTTGTTCATAAAAGATGATATCCTAATGTAACTTACTGTAATGTCACCAGAAGGAATGAAGGAATTTTTTTTTCTACAAACTCCATTGTTTATTTAAAAGTATAAGTAATAGTTGATTGATTTTATAAAAATAGAAATTAAAACTGACTCTTTTGGCTTAAAAAATAAAAGTATTTTTAACTTTAGCCCTCATTTATTTAATATTGATTAACAGAGCATTTCCTAAGCTGATTTCACTGTGGACCCTTTTTTACACAGAATATCTCCGGGATTCTCATAATCGTTAGACCACAGTTTGCAAGAAGGCGCAGTTTGTTTGTTTATTTTTAGAAAAAGTGGGGATTATTGAAAATTAGTGAGGAAATGGAGAGCAGTTAGAAACTTAAGACAGATACTGTCTACTGATACAGGCTGACACGAGGACTATGAAGGGGGGGATGAAAAAGGATGGAGGATAGTTCTTTGGGAACAAACTTTTTACTTGGATAAGAAGTCCTTAGATGAAGTATTATATGTTACTGGATGCGAGCCTGAGCTGAACACCTGAAGGAGGCTGGATAGCTCAGAGCAGGTCCATGGGAGAGTGAGCTCTTCTGTCAGGATGGGGGTAGTCATGGTCAAGCTCGCTAGGCAGCATCAGCAGAGCTTCCTTTGTAGCTGCACAGGACCGGGCTGGAATGGAGAGAACAACCATCATTTATGAACTGCATGACTCATGCAAGTTAGCATTTCTCTGTGTCTTAGAGTACACGCTGCTAAAATAGGCATCATCGTGATGTTTAGCTTACAGATTAAGTGAGCTAATATGGGAGAATGCCTGATTCAGGGAAGTACTCAATAAATATTAGCTGCCTTTCTTTCTTTCCCTTTTTTTTTTTTTTTTTTTAATTTGGTAGATTAGGAACCACAGCTTGCCAGCAGAGCCCTGGTGCAGAATTTGAGCAAGTTCGTAAAGCAATATGATTGTCTCCTGAGTAAGCGCAGGCCATTATCTCTGGAGATACTAAAGATCACTAGAGGAGCCAGGAGTGGTGGTACACACCTTAATCCCAGCACTCAGGAGGCTGAGGCAAGAGGATCATGAGTTTGAGGCTAGCCCGAGCTACATAGCAAGACCCTGTCTTAAAAAACTTAATAAAGGGTCTGAAGGTGTGGCTCAAGTAGTAGATCACCTGCCTAGCAAGAGTGAGGCCCTCAGTTCAAACTCCAGTACTACAAAAATAAATATATAAATGAAGCCATCAGCTTAAATAAAACAAAAAAAAACACTTAAAAAGATCCTCAGGTGGCAGTTCTGCAAATCACATCTCAGTGAGCACTACACTGAGTGCTTAAGCACAGGCATGTATTAACTATGAGAGTTTGGGCAAAATCACCTTAGGCTTGGTTTCCTCATCTATACAATAGGGTTAAGCCCTTGCCAGGACTGGGGAGTGGAGCTCAGTAGTAGAGCACTTGCCTGGAATGTGCAAGGCCCTGGGTTCAGTTCCCAGCACTGTAAAGAAAAGAAGAAGAAGAATTTTTGCCTACTTTCTTAAATTTTTGTAGAGTTGAAATAAAATAATGTGAGGGAAAGAAAAGGAGGAAGCATCTTTTCTGTATCTAATTATGTAATGGCTGATCCTTCATAGTCATCAGAGAGAACCTCATTTTAAATTTCTTGGTGGGTCAAAAGGATGATCTTGTTCCTCTTCCTCCCTAGGAAATGTTGGCAGTAGATGCACCTAAGCGACATAAGGTATCTGTCCACGTTCTTGCCAGAGAAATGGATTCTTGTGAGTATTGAATATTGACTTTAAGTCTGGTTTTAGCTCCATATTGAGCCCTATGACAACTTTTTCTTGCCGTAGCCACTTACCTTTGAGAGCACCAGAAAATAAAGGGATAGACAAAAGGAACTGAAGACAGGATCTGTTCTTTGAAGCCAGAGTATGGGGGGAGGGAAAATGGAGCAGTATAGGAGAGAGACCAGGTGGCTGCTAGACTAGCTGTAGCTTCCCAGGAAAATATGACGGGTGACTGTGGGATTTCTGCAGAGAGGCAGTATGCAGCCACTGCACATGGGGAGGAAGAATAAGCAATTTAATCTGTTCAGTCTGATTAAGTCTCCTCTCTTACCAACCAGAGTTTGCCCGATGGCCATTAACTTGTCTGGCCTTTTGGGCTGTTTCTTCTGCATCCTTCTGGATGGCCGGAGCCTCAGAGTCCAGGCAGATCAGACCTGGGCACTGAAGCTGCTGTGGCCAAGGCTGTATGCCCTCAGTTACGTCATCACCCTCACTGAGGGTGCTCCAGATAAAAAGGCAGAACAAGCAATCAGGTGTTGGGAGCAGAAAGCCTGAGAGAACCTCAGAGTACAAGTCCTGGGCCTGACGCAGCTTTTCAATTAACGGAATCTAGCTTATTTTTTTTTTTGAAAGTTGTTCTTGTGTGTAAGTTATGAGTAAGTGCAAAACATTAAAACTTTCATTTTCCTCTAGGTCCTGTTGTTGGAGAATTCCCGTGTCAAAATGATGTAAACTTATCACAAGCACCAGCCTTGCCACAAGTAAGAAACATTTTGTTGGATTGCACTGCCAGAGGACTTTGTATCAGCAGCTTGTTCATAAGGGCACATGAGACCTAGAAGTTTTAAGTCACCAGGTGTTTGAGCTTCTACTTTAGGTCCTCCTTGAATGCCTGGTCACTTGGCCTCTGCCTCTGTCTGCCCTTGCCTCTTGTGTGAACAGCTGAATCACTGAGCAATGAGTCACCTCTGACCACATCTGTTGCCAACAATGAATATTGGAGTGAGACCTCTTAGTCCTTTCCACGGTGCCTCTGTGTTTTAATCATCTGGAAAGATTGGCATTTTCTGCAAGAAGAGGAAACTGGCACTTGTAACAAGGCCCTTGCTGCATGGGCTCACCAGCCTCTGGTGCCCTGAAAGCCTTGGTGCTCAGCTCCTGGGGAGCCAGCCCCTCACATGCCCAGATAAAAGCCAAGTCTTCCTTCTGGCCCAAAGTGCCACTCACCATAGGTTTACAAGTCAGTCCATGACCCTTTGCCCCTACTGATCCAGAAGAAAAGTCAACAGATCACAGAATATGGTGTACCTTCTCTCTTCTCCCCCCAAAAAGGTTGATATTCGATTCAATCTAATTTTTAAGTTAAACACAACTTTAAAAGAAAACTTCTTTTCTTTGCAGCCTGAAGTGATTGAGAACATGACTGAGTTCAAGCGTGGTTTGCCACTATTTCCTCTAGTGAAGCCACATATAAACTTCATGGCTGCAAAACTCTGAAGATCCCCATGGATGGAACAGTGCAAGGGGATGTATTCCTGAGTCTTCCAGGCTGGGAAAACAATCTTGGCCACTTTCGTAGCTTCTGGTTCACTATAGAGAGACAAACAAAAAAAAAGTTGTCAAATGTCATTATGTAGAAATATTTAAAACCCAAAGGAATTAAATTTCAAAATCTTATAGACATAGAATATTTTTAAATACATGCCTCCTAAGTATTTTAAATTTTTTCTTTTCATTCGTAAGAAAAAGTTCCCTTATACAACTGCTTAAAATGATGAATGACATTCTGATAGAATCTTTCTTTCCTATTCTGTAAAGTTGTCCCTTGTCCAAAGAAAATAAATATTAGCTTTTCTATAAAAGCCTCCTGGGTTGATAGAGAAGGCTTCAAAACATTTAGAAAGGTATTCCCTTTTTAAAAGTCAATCCTCAAATTTCCTTTCTACTTAGTGGTCTTAGTAAATCAGTGAAGAACATTACATTGGCAGATAATACACAGAGCAGTGTAATTTTCTTTTATTAGTTGAATTGCTGATTACATAAGGTATGGTTTTAATCTTTTTATAAAATTTGAACATTTTTTATTCCAACTAGTAAAATGCTGGAAAACCCTAGAATACCCTTATTTACAGTGCTAGAAATACAGATTTACCTTAATCAATTTTGTCCCAAACTGAATTTCTCAGGATTACTGTGGGTTTTATTTTTTTTTTCCCAATTGACATTTTTTATTGTTCATAGTTGGTTTGCAGTGCTCCAACAGTTTTACTTTTTCTCATGAACAAGTTGCTGTATTTACTTAAAAAGTACAAATAGTGTCAACTTCAGATCCTACTGAGTGTGTGACATGCTTTTCCAACATCGGCTATTATAGCTACCCATAACTTTTTACTCTGATGAAATTGCAATCAGAGTATGAACCAAACTATTTTGCCCCTGTAGAAATTTAAAAGGCAGCAAATACAAAGCCACTTTTTGGTGATATAAAAAATAAAACCTTGCATTCTTAAATAGCAAGTCTCCATAAGACTCTAAAATCCCTTGTTGCTTCCAGTCTAATCTTGCCTTAAGTGTTATTTTTTTTAATATATAAATACAAACATACAAACACAGATGATGACTGGAGTGGACTTTTAAAACTATTTTTTCCATGAGATACTATTTTAGGTGAGCTTGTTACTATAGATTTAACAGCTGTTTTAAAATATTTATTATTAAAACTTGCTTCAAGAGAAACTGTGGCTGTGCTTCCACATGCAGGCACCAGTAGCAGTAAGTGGTCCTTTTGTCCACTGTCTCAGGCAAAGTAAAGAATGGCATTTTACCTCCCCATGTGACTTAATTTGCCAGGACTTCTTTCTGGAGTGTTACGTCTTTCCACATCTTAAGTTTTTACATTTGCCATTTTCCAAATAATCTCAATTTGGGGCAAGAATGATATAGTCACAACTATGGAGGCTGCTTTCAACAGTGGGCTCCGTTTCTACCATCAGGTCAACGTGGTGCTGTAAACTGTCTTTTTATCCACACCTTTAAGAGCCTCATTGTGAGAAGCCTGTCTTTGTCCATCAGAAGGTATGTGAAGTCTTCACTTCCTTCTGGTTTTATGCATTTGTAGACTATGCAGCTTTTCATTAAATTGCAGATATATACAAGATGAATCTAAAGTTAGTCCTGAGTGTTTAAATCCATCACTAAAAACAAAAATCCACCTATATTTTCTATGGAAAATTATATGCTGTTGAGTAAGTAACTTTTAGCTCTTTATAAAAAAATGAGTGAAATTTAAAAGTGTCATTTTTATGAAGAAAAGCACTAAAGATATCTGAAAGCAATCACTTAGTCTTCCATGAACCTGCACTGTTGTTCAGTGTGCTCCAGCATTTTCTGGTTTTCAGATTATATCTAGAGCTACCGTTAGGTCACTCAGGCATACTAATGGATTCATCTAAATGGGTCCCAGCTGCAGTCCGTCAGCAATAACAGCCTACCCAGATACTGCTAGTTACTCGATGCTTAGCAGATGAGATTTGTGAAACACACTAAGTTAGTACTTACTGGGGACTTTTTTTTTTTAAGTCTTCTTTCCAACTAGTTGAAAGGGAGAGCATGTGACACAGCCAGTGTGGTGGAGCCCTAGGGGTTGTCCTGTTTACAAATAAATTGCCTGAATTTAAACTCTGGAGTTTGCATTTGTGTTATTTTGCAGTTTTTGTGAAATAGTACAGTGTCAAATCCTTAAACCTAATTCTCAACATCCCAATTTGACAAGATTTCCTGCTTTCATTATTCCTAATGCAGAAAGCAGTGAATTCTAACAAATATATTCATAAACACATAAATATGTCTGAATAGAAATGGCTCAATTTCATATTCCTATGAATAGATCACATTTGTAAATGAACAAGAACCTCAGTATTTGACACTGAACTCGTTGCTGAATATTGTCAGTAACCTGAAACCCAGAAAGAGCTGTCCTTGGCAGTACAGAAAATAACAAAGTATTTTTCTTCTTTACAGTTAGACTTTAAATTTTCTTGCCACATCTCCAGCTGCAGGTTAGGTAAATATCTTGTCCAATCTCTAGCTTCTAACCTCCTGTCAATATAATCTTTCTACTCATGTAGTAGCCAGCATTTAAAAAAAAAAAACTGCCCATTCCTCAGTTTCCAGCCATACATTGAGCATTGCGCTCAGAGACCCCAGAGCCAACTCCGGGTTTTATGGCTTGGGGAGGACATGCGGGGAACCATCATTGCTGCTATCATGGTTTCTACTTTTTTAAGATTCAAACCTCCACTCAGCTCTGTAGACTTTGGGTCTCGTTGCTCGTTGTGATCTCTTGTAATAATACCTTTCAAGTCCATCAGTACAGTTGTGAAACAAATAGGAAGCAGTTGCTTTTCAATTTACATGTCATTTTCCTTTCCTCATGTGCACTATCTTACTTGATCTCCTGACCTTTGCCTATTTTGGAAAGTGTAAAACCAGACCATAGTCTATGTTCTCTCCTCCTGTCCACTGTTGTTTCTACTTTGTTAGGCTAAATTATCAGCACTCTGTAGGATCTCCTTCCCTGTTCGGATTAACCCAGACTTATACCTCCCAGCCTGCAAAGGCCTTAAATCCATGTAAACTCCCCTTCCTGTTGTCTCTAGAGTAATAGAGAATATCCAGGATCTTCAAGAAGTTTGTAAGAATTTGAAGGAGAGTCAAAGTTCCCCTATGATTATACTACTTAGACATAGCTACTCTGGTTCTTGTAGTCTTTTGCTCCTTTATCTTTGTTATAAACAACTACATACCTATAAAGTTGACAATACAAATGAGATGTATACATTCCTTGAAAGAAACAAAGTATCAAAACAGACATGAAGAGAAACAGAAGATTTGATTTTTACATTAACTCTTAAAGAAATTGAATTAATAATTAAAATCCTTCCCACAGGGCTCTGGGTGTAGCTCAGTGGTAAAGAGCTTGCCTAACATGCCTGGCACCTGAGTTTGAGCCCAAGCACCAGAAAAAAAAAGTTTAAAAAAAAAAGTCTTTCAGCCAGGAGTGGTGGCATGTGCCTATAATCCCTAGCACTTGGGAGGCTGAAGCCAAAGAATCTTGAGTTTAAGACCAGCCTGAACTACATATAGCAAGACCCTATTTCAAAAAACAAACACCCTAACAACAATAACAATAAAAAAAACTTATACCACGAAGAAAATTAATCCAAGGCCCAGCTGGCTTCACTGGTAAAATCTATCAACTTATACCAATTTTATATAACATTTTAGGAAATGAAGGGAATTCATCCTAACTCAATTACTATTATTATTTACCATAGTAACAGAAGGATAAAATACCATAGAATTATTTCAATAAATAGAGGATTTTTAAAAGTTTATGAAACAAGGAAGAGAGCTTCCTCAAGCTACTAAAGGGAATTTATGACATAGCTCAAGTTATCATTTAATGATGAAATACTGAATACTTTCCTCTTAAGCTCTATACAAGAATACCACTTCTATTTTAACTTATATTTGAGGTCCTATCCAGTGCAACAAAGCATAGTAGAAAGGATGACATAAAACTATTTATAAACAACATGAACACATACATAGAAAACCCTTAGGACTCTACAAAAAATGCTACTACTAATAACTAAATTAACAAGTTTTAGGAGACAAGTCAACATTAACAAATCAATTTTTTGCCGATAAACTGGCAACAAAATGAAAATGTTTCAATAAATCAAAATGTGAAGTATTTAAGGGTAAGAAAAGATTTAAAAACTTTTCATGTTTTCAAGTTTTTAAACCTTCACACTTGCTGAGAAAAATTTAGAAACCTATCTGGGTGCAGTAACATGCACTTGTAGCCCCAGCTGTCTGGGAGGCTGAGGCAGGAGGACCACTTGAGCCATAAGTTTGAGACCAGCAACACAGGTTGCTCTCTCTTCCCTCAAATGACCTTGGCCCTAAAATAGGTAGACTGTTCCTTCTTTGACTTTGTATGGACCACCACTCTGCCACTAATCTTATGAAAGTAGTCTGGCACAGGCACTGTTGAGAAATTCTTGTCCAAATAGCCATTTTCTTAAGCCTCACAGCAAGACCCTACCTAAAACAAAAACAACAACAAAATCAAAAGCTTTTTTAAAAGAGAGAACCTGAAACAGTGTATGTGCATTATATTCATGGATTGCAAAATGGAATTGAGGGGTATAGCTCAGTGGTAGATGCCTAGCAAACACAAGGCCCTGGGGTTCATCCCCAGCACTGTATATGTGTGTGTGTGAATGTATATGTATGTATATACGTGTGTATATATGTAGATAATATATGCATAGATGAGGCCCTGTGAAATTGTAATATAAGAAATATGTATTTGATCTCCGCTCCCAGTTCCTGTGTAAACCTCCTAAAACTCTTGTACATAGGGGTACTAAGAAATCTGTTCTAGTATTTGGTCTTGGACCTGGTTCCTGACACAGAGCTTCTAAGACCTTTGTAATTTCCTGACTGATAAAAGTATCACAGGCAGAACTCCTAAATCCCTTGGAATTTCCTGGGTGATAGGAGCATCTTTTGACCTAACAAGGAATCCTTGGTGAGCTCCTAGATAACCTTAGGATGGGGGCTCATTGTAGGGGGAACCAGCCACATGATTACAGGGTTAGAACTCTGAGCCAAATCCCCTCATCTTCAGACAGGTGAGAGAGGCTGAGGGTTGAGTTGACCATCAGTGGCCAGTGATGTAATCAATCATGCTTATGTGATGAAGCCTGCATAAAAGCCCAAAAGAATAGGATAGGAGGATGGCATACCCAGAGAGAGAATGGAAACTGTACCCATGCCCCCATGTCTACCCTATAGATTCCCTCCATGTGGCTGTTTGTCTGTATACTTTGTAATACCTTTATAATAAGCTAGTATAAAAGTGCTTCTCCAAGTTCAGTAAGCCATTCTAGCAAGTTTGTCAAATCAAGAAGGGGATAGTGGGAACCCCAAGATACAGTTGGTCAGAAGTATAGTTGGCAACCTACTGTTGGTAATTGGCATCTGAAGTAGAAGACCATCTTATGGAGGACTGAGCCCTTAATCTGTGTGTTCTTTAAAAGTGTCAGAACTGAATACAGGACACCCAGTTGGTGTCTACTGGAGAACTGCTTGGCACATGTGGAAAAACCCACACACATCTGGTGTCAGAAGTTCTTTGTTGAGGGGCTGGGAATGTAGCTCAGTGGTAGAGTTGCATGCACAAGGTTTTGGGTTCAATTCCCAGTACAATAAATTAGATGATAGATAGATGGATAGATAGATAGATAATAGATAATTATTAACTTGAAAGAAAAAAACTTATCAGAGGCCCCTATAACAAAGATTAATAAGAACAAAGCATACAAACTTATTTGACATAAGTTTTATATGACATGAGTACTCATAAAGAAAAGACCCAAAGAAACAGGTGAAGGTATGTATTTGTTATTCTGGGTTTGAGGAACAAGTATGTAGTCATGGAACAGTATGATCAGATAAAAATGTATGATGTAATGGTAAAAAGCTGAAAGACACATAGCAAAACCTGTTTGTTTAGATTCTTCTATGTCCTTGTGTCTTCAGAGATAGATAAGGATGTTCTTTTCTTCCTGGCATAGGGAGGTTACTTCTGGGTGCTATTGGGGTTTGAACTCAGGGCCTTGTGCTTGCTAAGCAGTCACTCCCACTTGAGCCACACCTCCAGCAGGAGGGTACCTCTTTTTTTGTTTTTGTTTGTTTGTTTGTTTGTTTTTGCAATACTGGAGTTTGAACTCAGGGCCTTTACCTTAAGCCCCTCCACCAGGCCTGTTTTTTGTGAATGGTTTTTCAAGATAGGGTCTCCAGAACTATTTGCCTGGGCTGGCTTTAAACCAGTATCTTCCTGATCTCTGCCTCCTGAGTAGCTAGGATTACAGGTGTGAGCACCTGGCTAGGAGGGTACCTCTTGAGTGAGTCATGACCTGCTTCCAGGGAAGGTCAAAAAATCTTTCTGATTTTATGACCTGCTGCTTGGAAGAAGAATGAGAAATGTGAGAGTGACCTTTGTGCTTCTGCTGTTTTCTCAAATGCCAAGTGCCCATTTGGGGTAGTCTGCTCTGAACTTCATCAACAGTATCATTAAGTTGTCCATGTTCCTGTATTAGTCACTTTTCATTGCTGTAACAAAATACCTGAGATAAACAACCTAAGGAAGGAAAGGTTTACTTTGGATCATGGTTTCAGTCCATGCTCAGCTGCCTCCATTGCTTTTAGGCTGTGGTGGGTAGAGCGTCATGGGGGTAGCATGTGGAGAGCAAAGTTGCTTACCTCATGGTGTCTAGGAAGCAGAGAGAGGGAGGAATCTCTCAGAGGCACATCCCCAGTGACCTACTTCCTCCAACGAGACCCCACCTCCTCACTTCCATCACCTACCAATAATATCACATTATGAATCTATCAATGGATTAATCCACTCATTAGGTCAGGAGATCCAATCACTTACCAAAAGCCCAACCTCTGAACAGTGCACTGGAGACCAAGCCTTCAGCACATGGGTCTTTTGGGGGGACACTTTATATCCAAACCATAGCACTCCCCCATGATTTATAGGTTCTAAATAATGTCCATCAAAATCCCAGGAGGCTTTATTGGCAGACATTGACAAGGTAATTTTAAAATTTACCTTGAAATTAGAAGAATCTTTTTCAGATTTGGTTATTTTTGAGATACGGTTTTGCATTTATTCCTGGGCTGGCCTGGACTCAGGTTGCCCTCATAGCTGGAATGACAGGCGCCGACCATGCTCAGCTTCTGTTAGTTAAGATGAAGTCTCTCAAACTTTTTGCCTGGATTGGCCTCAAACTGCAGTCCTCCTGAGTGTCTTCAGAAGCTGGGATTATAGGCATGAGTCACTGCATCCAGCTTCTGAGTCCCCCCTCCCTTTTTGTTGGTAGTACTGGGGAATGAACTCAAAGCCTCATGCTTACTAGGCAGGCACTCTACCACTTGAGCCACTCCAACAGCCTTTTTTTGTGTATGTTTGGTATTTCAAGCTAGGGTTTTAAGAACTATTTGCCTGGATTGACTTCAAACCAAAGTCCTCATGATATCTGCTCCCCCCCCCTTTTTTTTTT